AAATTGTATCTAATTGATGTTTCACACTATCTATTTCTAAAATTTAACTAATACTACAAATTCTACTAATTTTAACTAATAATAACTAATAGTTCTAAATTTTAACTAGTTCTAATAATTTTAAATTTTAGCAAAACTCATTTTTATTTTATTTGACATATATTTTGTATTTTTACTATTAATACTGACGCTATAAGTAAGGATTTTATGGAGACATTTTTCTATTATTTAAAAAGATTTGGTCACGAAAGTCAATTTTTTGAAAGAAAAAATAGCAGAATTAAGGAGAAAATAACTACATTGAAAACAGAATCTTATTTTTTTCAATAAATTTTAAATAAAAACAGAAAAATTGTTATAAATTACCATATTACTTATATATATATATATATATATATATATATATATATATATATATATATATATATATATATATATATATATATATATTATATATATATATATATATATATATATATAAGTATATTATATATATATATAAGTATATTATATAAATATATATATATATATATATATTATATATATATATATATATATATATATATAATATATATATATATATATATATATATATATATATATATATATAAATATATATATATAACCCTAATTCCAAAGGTTATTTATATATATATATATATATATATATATATATATATATATATATATATATATATATATATATATAAAAATAACCTTAGGGTCGGTTATTATATATATATATATATATATATATATATATATATATATATATATATATATATATATATATATATATATATATATATATATATATATATATATATATATATATATATATATATATATATATATATATATATATAACTAACCGACCCTAATTCCAAAGGTTATAATTATAAAGGTTGTATAAGTGCAAAACATAAATTTTGGTTGGTATAACTTTGAGTTGTTATTTTCGTGTAGGTTTTCAAAAAGGACTGATGGCTTTATAAAATAATCTAGAATAATAACAATAAAATTTATTCTTAAAGTTATGGAAGACCAATTAATGTAAAATAAATAATAAACTTTGTATGACAAGAAATAAATGAATTAGAATAACAAATAAATATTTCTTTTTTGGGTTATCATTGAATAATCAATTATAAATATTACAACACATTTAGTAATCTTATTTGCACAATACTATGTTTTTAGCAATCGATATAAAAGGTGCTCCTAGGTAGATGTTATATAATAAGTGTTCACTCTGTAAAATAATAGACATTAATTTTATAATAGAATACTGGTAAATATTTGAAATAAAATAATACAGTGCTATTGAAAGTGAAAAATTGTCCTGGGTTAGATAATTTTTTAAAATTGCGTCAAAAGGATGAAAACGTAGACGTCGCAATTGATAGCCTTTCTTTGCCCACGGACGAACCTAATGTTCTATACGTAATAAATACTTTCGGAAATGGGTTTTAAATTAGGTGTATAAATCTCAAAATCCTTGCAGCTTTTTCCATTTAAACCCGTAGAAGTTCTCGAAGAACCTTAAGTTCAGAAAAATTCTAAAAACATTCCTTCCTTTTTCAAAATTTAGGAACTATTTTAGGTCATTAAACTTGAAACAATTTATCTTCTTTTAATACTTTTAGTCTTTTGACATGATATGAAAATCCAAACATAGTATTATAATTAGTTATTTGTTCAAACCTTTTTTTAATAACTGTAATGCAGTATCTGCAATAAAAAAAAAATACTCCACTTTAAACATTTGGTTGGTGTATCTCCTCATACTCAAACACTTTCTTTTCTTTCTCTGCCTAGCCTCTTTGAAATTTGGTTCAACACCAAGAGTTTCACTAAGTTCTCTTGCTAACAATGTTACCGCCACAAAAACTAAACCTAAATTTAGCAACTCTAAGATGCATTTTTTGAGCCTGTAGGCTTTTTTTTCATAACTTTTTTCAAAATTAGTAAAATACAAAATAAAATTAGTATTATATTATCGAAAAAATATAATTAATGTGATAGAGTGTGGATATATTGTTATATAGGAATAAAGTTACTGTTTTAAAAATAAAATATTTAAGATTTCAACAACTATTTAAAAATATTTAGCCATCTTAAAAAAAGAAATATACTTTCTTTTCTTTCTTATATATAATTGAAGAAACGTCGTTAAAAAGTTATGCTGATGAGTTTAATTAGTATAAATAAATAATGAGCATTAAATTGCTTAGTTAATTAGATTAAAAATTATTTATAAAGCATAACTAAATATATCTATTTTAACAAATTTCAAAAATGTTTTTCTGGTTTAATAAATTATTCCAATTCTTATATAATCGGAGTTCACATGATTTGTCAGCGTATTATGTCCAAACAAGAGGTTTAAACTTTATAACCGATTTTGTATTTTTTTAATTTTTAAAGAAACTTTTCTTTATTTTTAATAAATTTTAAAAATTGTCATGTGTCAGCAACTTATTAAGCACTCTTGAAATATGGTCATAGGGAGTCAACCCTCCTTCAAGCATTATCCATGACAACTAAAAAAGATTAGAAATAATGTATATAATCATTTTTACATTCCAAAATCAACAGTTTATGGCTACTTGCATATTCAGAAATTATTAAAGACATACCATATTTTTTGCGTGCATTTCAACTGACAGAAAATTGCAAAACAAAATTGAAAATTGGCATGGATTTGGCTGATATTCTGATCAACAGGATCATTACAAAAACGTTCTTCTAACTTTCCCTGCCTTTGTTCAAAGCTTGTCAACTTTAACTGAATATAATTTAGTTCACAAAAAATGTACGCACTCCTATAAAAAGTGACCTGTTATGAAGGAAAATTTCTCTTATGAAAGGAAATGAACTGTTACTAATGTTACTTAAAAAAATAATACTCCTATTTCCAATGAAAGAACATTGTAAAAAATACCTTGTGCGCTAAATGGTTCACCATTTAGGCGATTGCAAATACCAATCACACTATCATGCATCTGTAATAAACTTAAATCAGCGGAATACCTGACTCAACTAAAATTACAACATTTTTTAATAATAACAATAATATATATATATATGTATATATATATATATATATATATATATATATATATATATATATATATATATATATATATATATATATATATATATATATATATATATATGTATATATATATATATATATATATATATTTTTTTTTTTTTTTTCTTGATTTGAATATATGGCTGATGAGTGCCGAAAGCGGCATGAAACTTTAAGTACCGTAAAAAAGTTGTTTTTCTCATCTAACCTTTATTATTTATTTATTTATTGATCTATTTTGTGATTATTTCACTTTATATTGATCACTCTCAAATCGAAAAAGAGTTGATTATTATCAAATAATCAAAACAACAATATATGTATATATATATATATATGTATATATATATATATATATATATATATATATATATATATATATATATATATATATATATATATATATATATATATATATATATATATATATATATATATATTATATATATATATATGACTGATTACCTATCTGTGGAACGCTTAAAACCTGTTCGAAATTAAAAAGACATTAACATAATCAAACTTATTATGTGGAAGATATAGAAGTATATTACAATTTTTAAATTTTGCAGTTGCCTGGCTAGATGCAGGTAATTGCAGCCTAAGTATCTTTAAAAGATATATATCAATAACAAAAAATAGAATAAATCTCAAATTTTCATTAACAGCAAACTTATAATAAGTTATGTTGTGATGCAATAAAAGTAGAATAAAGCATTATTACATGTATTTATTTTACCTTTAAGGTTTAGAAAAAGAAAAGATAACATACATTAATTTGACAACTTGTAATTATTGAAAAGCAACACTATTTTATTATAGTATTTTTTTAAATTATTTTAAAGGATTTTGATTTTATTTTTTTACTGAAGAACGAGAGGTGTTGCTACATCGACTATCTTATAGCCAGAGGTGGAAAGTAACGAATTACATTTACTCACGTTACTGTAATTGAGTAGTTATTTTGTGAATTTTTAATTTTTAAGTATTTTTTTTTAATGTGTACTTTTACTTTTACTTAAGTATTTTTTTCTAAAGTATTGTACTTTGCTACATTTGAAATCATAAGCGTTACTGAGTATAAAAGTTTATTATGTCTTGTTTAATTTCACAAATTCTATGATTTAATTTTTTTTTTTTGAGTTATGCTCACTTAAATAAAAATGACACTTTAAATTGTTTAAAAAAAATGTTGAGCGTGTTCATTACGACTTTTAACTGCTTTAGATCGGTTTCTTTTCACTTTTTTACGGCGATAAAATTTTCAGGGCAAAAAAAAAAAAATAATAGACTGTGATTTTTGTTTTTTTATTTGACAGCTTTGTTATCTGAAAAAGTAACGCAGAAACTTTTACTTAGAGTACATTTTTAATAAGCTACTTTTTACTTTTACTTGAGTAAACTTTTCGACCGGTAAATTTTACTTGTACCTGAAAAAATTTTGCTCAAGTAACAGTGCTTTTACTTGAGTCTAATTTTTTTTTTTACTTTTTCAATCTCTGATTATAGCCACTGCTACGAGGGAGTGCTACTACATCGGCTATTTTATAACGTCTTAAACTTCCGGTACGATCTTTTAGGACTTCAATGCAAACCAATGAAACATATTTCCAAGTAAAATAAAACGCGTTAATGTTAGAAGCCCAATTAACATATTTAAATTTAAGTATAAAATGTGTATCTGTATTACGTAACAAAAAAAAAAAAAAAAAAAAAAATTATCTTTTAATTAGTTTCAAAATTTTCTCAAATAACAAATATATTAATAAAGCCTATCAATCATATGTTTGATATCTGATAAGAATGTTATCAGTTTACTATATTCATATCATATATCAATTATTTGATTATATATAATGCAAATAGTATTAGAAAACAACGAGTTTTGAATAAAGAATAAAAAAAGAACTCGTTTAGTGTCAGGTTACGTAGTCAAACTCAAATAAAAAAATGTCATATGTTTTTCATTAAAAGAGCAAAAATATAATATCATCATTAGTGTAAAAAAAAATTAAAATGGCTATGATAAATTATATATATTGTGGGCTAATTTGTGTCGGCATTACATTTGCTATATTGTCAACAATAGGAAACTATTGGTTTAAAGCTTCGGATTCTTCAGAGCATGGCGGGATATGGTATTTTTGCAAATTAAATGGTTGCGAGAAGAGACTTAATAAAGCAGGTGATATAGTGCATAAAAAAAGTTTTATGAATTTTTTAGTTCATTTTTACAATTTTTTTTGTGTTAACAATTTAGTAAATGTATAAAAACTAAATTCTAATCCAAAATTAAAATACTACGGTTTAATGGTTTATCATGTATTTAATATTCTTCTCTTTACAAATTAAAAATTTAATTTAGAAATCCGAGGGAGGGGGGGGGATAAGCGTACTTTTTTTAACAATGTGACTCATCAGGGAGTAATTATTTTGTCACACATGGGTTTCATAACGTAAATATCACGTGTGATATTGGTGGAAAATCCTACTTAAGAAATATACCATGCTACATGTAATAAAATGGGAAATCGGTGGAAAATCCCACATAAGAAATATATCATGCTACATATAATAGATCGTATATCAAACATATTTTTTATTTAAATACAACAAATGTATTTAATACATATAAAATAAGTTTGAATGCTTTAATGATAATTTTTAAACTATAATGACTTAATAATTTTAAAATAATTTTAAAGCTTTCAGCAAGAAATATTTATCTAGCATTTGCTACTTTATACTATTTGTAATTAAATAAATGTCAAATTTTAGATACATAAAATTTCATTATATACCTTCAATATCATCTTCTATCAAAGAAGATTCATTACATATGAGCCAAGCTTAAAGATTGATAGAGAGTAGAGGATGTGTGGCAAAAAGCAGAACAGAAAGTATTATTTTGAAAAAATGAAAATAGAAATATGACAGAAAAGGTAATATTCAGAACTTGTATCTAAAGTTATCTATCAGGATATATTAATGGATTACTATTTTATTTAAAATTAATGAAAACTCAGTATTTAATACGCCGTAACAAGATAGAGCTTATTATGGCAAAATAAATACTGAAATTTCCCATTAGTTTTGATTTTGAATTTTCATTATTTTTAAAAGCCTACATAAAAGTTAACAGTATTTATAAAACTAACTTAATCACAAATAAATATAAAATCATTGGTGACTATTTTGGGTTCGTAGAAATATGTATTATGTTTCTAAAAACTTATCTTACTTAGTTTAATTAAAAGTTAAAAAAAACATTGACAATATTTTAAGATAATTTTTTCCATGCATTCTCAATATGATTTGTAAAAAATTGTTTATTACTAACTCTCTGACGAGATAGAAGTTATGCCGACGCGTTTGATTATTATTTTAATTCTCTCAATGCAAATAAAAGGTTATGTGTGACGTCTCTGATTGGACCCAGGTGAAATGCTTAACGGAGTCTTTTTTTAGACGTCCTAAAGGCGTCATTCCAGCCATAATTTAAATACCAATTTTTGAGGAAACTATAGACATTTAAAATTAAATACCAATAATTAGTCGTAAGTAAAAGAATATTTGTTTAAGTAGTTTTAGACGTTTTATTTTAAAAATCTTTAGGACTACTTCGATCTAAATATTCTTTTAAAAGTTCTATTAAAAGTGCATTAAATTACAATACAATCCTTAAATGTGACTTAATTTAGACAAGAAAGGTAAACTTAAAGTAAATAATGCAAAATTTCATACAAATATTTAGTTTATATTGTCTAATATGAATTACTAATTGTATTGTAAACACTACAATTAAAAGTACAAAGTATCAAAAAGAGTTTTCATTCAAATTAAAAAACAATGATATTTAATAAAAAGATTCTATAGTAATTCATTAGAACAGTACTTTACAAGCCCGTAAGAAACTTTTTTATGACCCAGCAAAGTTTACAGCCCCCTCAAATTTAGGGGGCGTTCAAATTATATATTGCCATATTTTAAACACTAAGAGAATATTGTATGAAATTTAAAGTTTGTAGATAAATTAAATTTTAGTTAGAAATAGTAAAAAATATTTTATAAACTCGTTGCTCTCACTTTAAGGGAAGGGGGAGAGGGAGGGGGGAAGGTAAAAGAAATTTTGTACTTTATTTATTTCCAGGCTCCGCTTGTCTCAACTTTTTATAAATGTTCCTTATTTGACATAACTGAAACTTATAAATGCTTGGAGTGGACTCCGTGTCTAAAAGTTACCTCAACAACAGTTGTCAAACAGCAAAAAAAGCTTGCTACGAGCCAGGTGTGCTAGTTAATAGCCTCAAAATTGAATAAAGTAAAGTTCTAGTAACTTTCAGATTTTCCTATTCTAATAAGTTTTTTTTTTTTTAAATTTCGTTATTATCACAACAATTATGATACAAATACTAATCAATAAATAAATGTTTTCAGAAAGAAACTTCGCATAGTAAATGAAGAAACCATATCTAAACAATTTATTACCATTTATATGCTGATCCTATTATTATGCAATGTAGAAGTGTATGACTTAAATTCAGAATCAGTTCTTAAATTTGCAAAACCGTTTGTATAAATACTCCTTTTAAAGAAATATTCTGCCACAGAAGTACACCAATCACATCCATTTTTTTGATGCGAGGCCTGACAAACATCTAAAATATGCAAGTACTAGAGTATCACAAAGAAAAACGAAAAACTACTTTATCCTGGTTTTCACTAATGACTAACTCATTAACTGTTAGATTAATAAACCCTGCAACAAAATCTTAAATGAACCTGTATCTTAAACACTTGATAGCTTCACATTTCCACTATAAATAGAAAAGGATAAGATACTACATTTACCATAAAACAAGAATTTGGTTCCGTCTATTGGATCACTAAATACGAAGTCTATCAGTAATTACATTAACAAAATATGATAATAAAATCTACTTTAATCTAAGCATCATTACACTTGCTCAATAAATTGATATAACGAGGAATATAAACATTAACTAGATATTTATATATAGTTAATGCTTGGACTTTAACTAGATAGATGTCTAACAGATGTCTAAGCATATTGCTTGGCCATCTTTTCGTATGTCACAATTTTCAAGTTTTTTTGAAAAATGTGACATAAGAAACTGCATTAAAATAATTACTTTATTGTTTATTGCATCTATTGTTGAATTGTGCTCACATAGACTGGTTTCTATTCAGAACCATTATCACTGAACTCAAAATCTTCGGAAAAATCAACCATATTGGATACTCTATTTTGACTATGATTTAATATATATACACCTTACAGAGAGATAAATAAATCATTTTAATTTGTGTTCTGGTAACGAATGATCTTAAAATAACAGTTAATTTAATAAACTTTACAACATATTAGGATAAACTGTACAAGAGATATATCTATTACTGAATAAATGTAATAATAGATATATCGCCAGTACAGTTTGCACTGATATGTTGACAAATGTGATAATCCGTTACATACATTATTACATATATCAACTTATCGGTCCAAACTGCAATAGAGGTATCTACAACAATAACAGCAACAACATCAACAACGGTATTAACCAGAAGTATAAATAGAATTTATACATTTTAAATCTATTTGTAATTTTAATATATTTACCAGAAGTATAGATAAACTTATTCTATTTATACTTGTGGTTTCATTTGCGTCTACTATCTATTATCACATATATAAAGTGATAACATATACTCCCTGTACAGTTTTTACTGATGTGAAAATGATAACATCATTTGATAATAGTACTATTAAATGATGCATTACATTGTGATAGGGCTTAATATCTCCTGATATAAAGCACTATTACAAATATTATTTGCTATTATTAAAAGCATATGATAATTATGATGATACTTTGCCGAACGGTATCTCTTCATAACTTAATAATACAACTTAATAATATATAATACAATATTATTAATATGTAATATAATATAATATTATAATTAAGCTAATTGATAACTTAATCTTCATAAAGTTTTCGTGTATACCTGAATATTCCTGACATACACAATTTTAAAAGTTACATAAATTAAATGTGAACATTTCACTAAATTTCTTATTTAATTCAATTTTGTTTTTGCGACTTTAGTGTACACATGCGCTCTCTACGTCTAATTTTTATTTTTCTGTTTTATTTTTACCAGGGCTGTGGAGTCGGAGTTGCGGAGTTGCGACATTTTCAGCGGAGTCGGAGTCGCTAAACCAAATCGCGACTCCGACTCCAATAGTAAAACTTCTCGGTATTGCACGTGCATGAAGAAAATATTCAATTATCTTTATTTTCATACTAAACCTCAAAGAACGTTTCATAAATTTGTCAAAAAAGAAGTTTTTAACTTGTCGCGTAATATTTTTTTTTTGAATTTAAAGAATTTTTCAAAAATTTTTCTTTGGAATTGTAGTCGAAAAAAATTTCAACAACTGGAGTCGGAATCGTTACTTTTTTTTACGACTCCACACCCCTGATTCTTACATTTACACTAAACCGGACACGATCATACGCATTTTTTTATTAATACGTGGTATTAAACTCAATTTTAAGACTTCAAACTAGACGCGCATATTTCTGATATCAAAGCCGTATGTAGTACGTGATCATTACTCTGTCTGTTTATAGTACCACATGTGCCGGCTGGGACGCTGCAAAAAAACTAAAAACTTAAATGTAACTTAATTTTAGTGATGAAATTATTACTATTACTCCAAACTCCAAAATATACTCCAAACGTTTTTAAATTTAAAAAATACAAAAAACGCAAATACGAAAATGTTGTATGCCATTTCATTCGCTTTAACAAAACCAGAAGTTTTTCAACTTTTAAAAACGTTTTGAGAATCTATACAGATTATGACACAAAAATCATTACCATTTTGAAATTTTATTTCTTGCTTACAACTTCGTGTACACGTGCGTTGGCATTCTGAGAATTATTTTATTTTATTTTAAGATTTTCGATTTAAGTTGTTATCTACCTTATTATATTTTACAAAAATCTGATTGATAGCAGTTGACTATATTTAGATATTTATTGAAAATGGCTTTGCTATATAATATGTTTAAATAAATAAATAAAGTGTACTAACTACGTTGTCAAAAGGTGAGTAACAACTTTGTAAAAGGAAATAAAACTATTTTGTGAATAGTTGACTAAGTTGATTGTGAAGTTTTATGTAGTTAAATATTTATTATATGAAGTTCTCATTAATCTCACGTTGTCAAAAGGTGAGTAACAACTTTGTAAAAGGAAATAAAACTACTTTGTGAATAGTTGACTAAATTGATTGTAAATTTTTATGTAGTTAAATATTTATTATATGAAGTTCTCATTAACACCACGTTGTCAAAAGGTGAGTAACAACTTTGTAAAACGAAATAAAACTATTTTGTGAATAGTTGACAAAGTTGATTGTGAAGTTTTATGTAGTTAAATATTTATTATATGAAGTTCTCATTAATCTCACGTTGTCAAAAGGTGAGTAACAACTTTGTAAAAGGAAATAAAACTACTTTGTGAAAAGTTGACTAAGTTGATTGTAAATTTTTATGTAGTTAAATATTTATTATATGAAGTTCTCATTAATCTCACGTTGTCAAAAGGTGAGTAACAACTTTGTAAAACGAAATAAAACTATTTTGTGAATAGTTGACTAAGTTGATTGTAAAGTTTTATGTAGTTAAATATTTATTATATGAAGTTCTCAATAACCTCACGTTGTCAAAATGTGAGTAACAACTTTGTAAAACGAAATAAAACTATTTTGTGAATAGTTGACTAAGTTGATTGTAAAGTTTTATGTAGTTAAATATTTATTATATGAAGTTCTCAATAACCTCACGTTGTCAAAATGTGATTAACAACTTTGTAAAAGAAAATAAAACTACTTTGTGAATAGTTGACTAAGTTGATTGTAAATTTTTATGTAGTTAAATATTTATTATATGAAGTTCTCATTAATCTCACGTTGTCAAAAGGTGAGTAACAACTTTGTAAAAGGAAATAAAACTACTTTGTGAATAGTTGACTAAGTTGATTGTAAAGTTTTATGTAGTTAAATACTTATTATATGAAGTTCTCATTAATCTCACGTTGTCAAAAGGTGAGTAACAACTTTGTAAAAGGAAATAATACTACTTTGTGAATAGTTGACTAAGTTGATTGTAAGGTTTTATGTAGTTAAATATTTATTATATGAAGTTCTCATTAACAAATATATTTTACTTAGATTCCTTAATTGCTACTGAAACATTTATGATCATGGGTTGCTTGAGCTATTTTCTCGCTTTTGTATTAAGTTTGCTAAGTTGTTCGAAGATATTAAAAACTCACAAAATCTCTGCAGCTGTACTCTGTGTAACAGGTATAAGTAACTATTAAATAAATATATAAACAGTTTTACAATATTCTATTTTTTATTTTTGTGTCATAATACAAATTGTGTCAAAATTTGCGTATTTGATATGCATATAACTAAATATTGCTTTTTTGTAAACTCTTTTAAAAGATATATCTACATTTTCTTGACAAATTCAATTTAAAACGCTTTTTGTCCATAAATTCATAAAATATTTGTTGTTTTATTATGCTATTTTTCACTCTCATCTCAGATATGGTTTTCAAGTTTAAGGACAATTGATCAGTTGAAAATATTGTTATAATTATTTTTATTATACTCTTTTGTTTTGTTATTATTGTTGTTGTTGTTGTTGTTGTTGTTGTTGTTGTTATTGTTATTATTATTGTTGTTATAATTTTTATTTTTATTGTAACTTAAATTTTATTATGATTTTCATATCAATAGCACTAGGTTTGTCATAATTGTTGAACCAGCATTATTTGCTTTTTAATAATTTTTACGTTCTGCTCATTTGGTATGTATGAATAAAGTAATAAAGATCATTTTTGTTTGTAATTTTTAACAGTTTTTGTTGTTTGTTTCATAATATATTTCTTTGGAGCAAAGTTTAGACCATTTTTTTTTTATATTGCCCAGTAACTATTTTTCTGGTTGATTTTTTTTTTCTTTTAACATCTAACCTGCCTTTGCTTTATCTGTTGTTTTTACAAAATATATATATTTCTTGCATGGTTGATTGAAATGAAATAAAAACTTATGATAAAACTTGTCAATGAAAGAACTTGAAAAACTTTTACCAAGATTTATGCTACTTACATAAATTTTAGTTTTATCATTGTTTTCTACGTCAAGCAGTTTTTTTAGTTGATTATGAAAACCATCTATTTAATATTTCTTTTTAAAAAGAATATAATAGTATTGTGTGAGTTGGTTGCTTCATTTAATTAACCCTAATATTATCTAAGAGCTTTCATCTTAAATCTTCAACTGCTACAATGTTTCAATTAAAAATGATTTTATTAGTTTCGTGTAAACTTAGCAAGTTTTTTGAAGTCTTCAGACAAATTTTTTTTTTCTTTTTTTACGTTAAAACAACTAGACGTGGCTTGTCGGTTTTTTTATTTATTAATAACGCGCTAAGTAGTTGTTTTAACATTAATTTGTATAAATAATTTTTTTCACGTTTTTTCTTTGGCTACGCTTTCATTATTATTTTCATAGGTTTTAAATACGAAAACTACCATATTCTTTTGTCTTAGTTCTCTTCTGGAGGTTCTTTGACAACGTCAACTAAATCTAGTTGTACAGACTTGTTAGCTTTTTTCTTTAAACAACATCGGACCATTGTATGGTCATTAATTTCCTTTTCTTTTATAAGGAGTTTTGTTTCCAACTTCAATGCTCTATTCACTTAAGTTTTCTTTTCTTACAATTTTCAAAGTTATTAAAGTAATATTTTACAAAAAATAGACGAGAAAAAAAAATTTAAATTAAACTGAAGCGGATAAAAACTCGCGATTTCAATACGTTATTAGAAACCTCAAACATGAGCGAATTAAGCCAAAAATATTATCACAGTTGAAACAAAATCCAGAAGATAGATTATCATGTTTATAAACAAATGCTACTACTTTATGCAAAAAAGTTGACAAGTTATTAAAAAAAATTATCAATTTTAAAGCAAGTATAGTTTTAATTAGTTAAACCATCATGGTCAGGCAAATCAGCTGTTATTTTACCAGATTTTAATATGAACCGTAGGGTTTGCATACTTTGCTTTATCGTTCAAATTTATCTCATACCGAATCTATTAATAGCTTTTATTGATTATAATTGAAAAATAAACGTATAAGCATCATGATATGTGGAGATTTTAGCATAAATAAATTGAATTGAAGGATTTAGCGAAGCTAAAAATATAACCGATAAACAAGCGAGTTCATTCATAATTTATTTTGAAGAATAATTACTGAATGAAAATATTCTAAAATCAACAGTTATAGGAATTGATACCAATGTTTTAGATTTAACATTAACCAAAAATGACAGCAGAGTATTTAATATCAACCATCACCCTCCTCTGGGCAACATAGAACGTGGCCATTATTTAATTAGTTGTAAGTATTGGTTTCAAAAAGTAGGGAATAGTGATATAAAAATGAAAGAAAATTCTTTTTTAATAAAGGTAATTAAAAAAAATGAATAAATATTTTTTTAAAACCGAATGGGATAAAATATTTTTTAACTTAAATGCTATTTAAGTTTATTACAAATGGTTACCAATCTATCACAATACTTGTGATAAATTCATACCAAAGCTACAAATCTATTAAAAAAATAAAAAAAATAAAATAAAGACCCCTTATGGATAAATAGAAATATTAAAAGTATTTGTAAAAGAAAGAAAATTATTGTAAATCTAACATAGAAATAACAAGTTTTGATTTTTACTAAAAGTAGAATAATATAAAAAACTGTGCCAAAAATTTAAACTTATTGTTAAAGCATGTATAATAAAATATGAAACATACTTAGCAGCAAACTCGCTTTATACAAATGAAAATATAATCCAAAATTTAAAAAGTTATTTTTATGGATTTGCCAAAAGGTTTTGATTTAGTTGCACACCTATGGCTTTTGGCAAAACTAGAAGCAATCGGAATTTGAGATAAACTATTAAATTGTTGCAAAGGTTTTTACAACAATAGAACACAGCGAGTTGTTTTAAAAGAACATGTATCTGAATGGAAAAATATTGTATATGGAGTTGCCAGAGAATCCGTACTGTTCAATAAATCAGGCCCACTGCTACTTAAAATTTTCATAAACAATTTATGTCTTAATCTAAACAACGTTGTACAGCTTTTTGCTGATGAAACATAAGTGATTTTGTTGTTAAAGAATCAAGAGAACAAAAAGACTTCCAAAACGGTAGTGGTTAAATGAATGGTTAGTTAAATTTAAAGAAAACAAATACAAAATAATGCATTTTAGTAAAGGTAATCAAGAACATGGTTATAAACTAAACTATTTTAAGCCATTAAAAACTTAATCAGAACTTGATCTCGGTATATCTATCAAAAATGACTTGGAAACTTCACATTAACAACGCGACAAATAAAGCTAGTAATCAACTTAGATTGATTAAACACTCTTTTAAATATTTAAATGAAACATTAGGAAAACCTTTGATTAAAAAATGAGTGCGACCTCATCTAGTATTTAGTACAATAATTTAAAATCCTTTAGAAAAAATGAAATTGCTCAAATCAAAAAAACATAAAGCAACAAAAATTTAGAACTTAAAGGGTTTATTGTATTAAAAAAAAATTAACTATCTAAAAATTTAAACAAAAAAATTGAAGAAAAAGTTTAGATACAATTCAAATGCTTAAAATAGTCTTTGGTTTTGATAAAACAAATTTTTACAACCCTATCAATTATATTGCAACAATTACAAGAAGACATAATATGAGAATTAGAAGAGAAATATTTAACAAACACTCAAATAATAACGTTATTGGAACACTTTGCCACAAGATAAAATTAATTTAAGTTCATTCAGCTTGATCGCAAACATGATTGTCTCAATGTTCAAATAAAATAAATGTAAGCATTATTTAATTCTAAAAAAAAAAGTATTTTGCTTAGTAGAAGTAGGGTGGGACAAATCTGAAATGTTATCTATAACGAGCTGTTTTTATATTGAATTTAAATATGAAAAAATATTGGCCTGCGAAAACAATTTTGGTTAGAAAATTGCTTTTTTATTAAAATGGCTGCCAAAAGTTGGTGAAAAAATATTTTTCCGAAATTATATAACATGTAATATAACATTTTATATGTTTTTTTAGATGCAAGATCCAAATATCATAGAAGCTTGACCGTTAAATAGCGTTTTAGGTCAGAAACATGTGTTTCCTGTTCAAATGTATCACAGACATAAATAGAAAAATTTTAAAACTAAGTAAAAAATTGAGCAGGTAGATGTGCATCTTATTTTCATCATTAAGTGCTATTTGTATTTAGATATGTTTTATGTTATGAATGAATTTATCTGCAAAAAAAAAAAAAAGCCCCTAGGTGACCAGCAGCACGTTCAGTCTGATATAAAAAGCGTCTAGGTGACTAGCATTACAATCCACCATGGCAAAGAACACGGATAGCTCAGTCAAAAATCAAAGCAATACAGTAACTCGCAAAATCTTGTGAGTAGTGTACTAAAAGGAATCGACGTTTATTGGTAAATCCAGGTTGCAAAGTAGTGCACATTTAATTGGACGGATAATACACTAGTGAGACCTGGATTTAAAGTTTTTTCATATAACGACGCAAGCAAAATAGTCGCGCAGGAACTATCCAACTAGAAATATAAAAAAATGTCTATTCGATGTGTCAACAAAACAAAGTCAAGAAAATTAGAGACAAATAATATGAAAGATTTGTTCAGAGTTAAAATAACAGATGAAGACGAGACTTTTTATTATGACATTGCAGCCGTTTTACGTATCGTAAAAACTGCTGAAATCATCTTCAGTCAGAAGTGGAAAATCAATTTAAGTTGGCAGGATAAAGAACTGAGTGGTTATGAGTCCAACTTGGATAAAACGCAATAGAGCACAGTCGCCGACAACCTTAAAAGGCGTCACTCTACTAGTAGATACTAGGACTATAGATAGATATTCGGAAAATGCATCTTGCCTAAATCTTCAAATGATGACAAATTATTTTCTAAATAAAGACGCTTGTTGTGTTGTTGTTGGCAAAATTTTTGGATGTCAGACTGTTTATTAAGTTGTTGCATGTTATTAAACAGCTAATGTGTTATAAACGAAAAATTTTAAAATATTGCGCGCATTTAATACTAGGCATCAATCATGCTACTTGTAGGGTATATTGCAACACCAAGCAAAGAATAGGAGTTCAAAAACAGCTGGGCAGAAAGCATTCACGTCTTTATCAATTTCAATTTACACTCTTGAACAACTTGCCATAGCCAAGTTACTCTCGCAAAATCACTTTGTATCATTATATACTGAATACAAAGGCTGAATGGATCTTCAGAATATTAAACATTGGGTAAACAGTTCAAAGGTTTTGTTTCTAATCACTTTGGGCGCTGTGCTGAAATAGCGTAGGAGTTCATACTTAGAAGACAATCAATCAAAAACATTTTTGAAACTAATGTGGACAAAAACTCGAACAAACATTTACTAGCCGCATCAGTTTATATACAGAACAATTGGTTCGTTCTCTGTTTAGAATATACCAAAGTAGAGAGAGAATTATTTTTCCTACAATGAAATTATTTGAAATTGACTAGAGAAGAATAGAAAAACTGAGAACTACTACATATGATTCAGGTTAGAGGGGTGTGTGGGGACCTACAACAAAAAAATCATAACTTAAAGAAATAAAATGCACTGCTGACCTAAACTGTGCACGCCTCCCACAACAGTGTTTTTGTTTCAAAAAATTGCACATGCCCAAATTAAGTTTTTCTAGCAAGGTATTATTATAGTGAACACAAAAAAAAATATTTCACAAATTTAAAATATTTCACAAATTTAAAAAGAATATCCCATCAATTAAATAATTAAATAATTTTAAAATAAATACACAATTATATTTGTAATTATATTACATATATATATATATATATATATATATATATATATATATATATATATATATATATATATATATATATATATATATATATATATATATATATATATATATATATATATATATATATATATTCATATATATATATATATATATATATATATATATATATATATATATATATATATATATATATATATATATATATATATATATATATATATATATATATATATATATATATATATATATATATATATATATATATATATGGCGCAGTGGTAGCGCACTTGCCTCAGAAACGTAAGATCCGTGGTTCAAACCCACTTCTGGGCAAGTTTTGCGACATCGGTTGGGAAGGAGGCGTGAACTTCCTA